CAAAAAATAAAAACAAAGGCCATTTTCGATAGATCGAGGCCATTGACCTCTAATTTGAAAGAAAAATAGCAGTAATCGTCGTTCTGGCATCTTACTCGGCGTACGGCAAGTACATGCCACAGCGGATGTGGCTGCCGGACGCACGCCGACCGGGAGACTGACGCGGTGGCTCGTCGTGCTTATTCACTCTCCGCGATAAAACAGACATAGCTTGCACTACCTGGAGGGTGAGCCGATGCGCGTGCAGTTTGAGTAGTGGACCGTCGACGCCATGGACGAACCTCGTCTTTGCCGGCTATATGCACGACGCTACGGACGGGAGTCGGGAGGTGTGCGACATCCAGGAGCGCCACGCCCCCGTGTACATCGAGGGGGCTCGTCGACAGCATGACGGAGCCGCAGCCGAGCTACACGGCATTCCGGATTTGCTAACGGGATGAAATGGGCCCTTTTTTTCTTTTTTTTTTGCTTCGAGTCAGCCATCAGCATTTTTCTCTGTATTGGAGGACTGTATTGGTTTTAATACCAATTCAGTGAGGAAACTGTAATGGACATGAATACGATTTCACTTGTTTGGATGTCATGGAATTGGCCCATGGAATCCCAGTGAGGTTTCAATACCAAATCTTGTTTGGACGACAAACTATGGAATTGCATAATGCCTTGTTCTATATGCATCAAATCAAAATTTATACAATATGTGACTATAATCAACGTCCTTGTTGCTCTTGCTGTCAAGTAAGACGGGTTGCCGATGATCATCTTATCTCGCTGGCTCTTGCTGACAGTATGCTCCTGCTGACCTCCCTATCTTCTTTTGAAAAGCAATCAGGCCAAAGCAGAGACATAAGTTCCACACTGCACACATAATTAAGAATCAATCCACCCGTCAAAAATTAACAATCAATCCTCTTGTTACTAATCTCATTTAGCAATATGCGAAGGGAAACTAAATTTCGTCTGAATGGATGGTTATATGAAACAGACAAATTTCCTGCATTGTCATAAGAGAGCAAGCACCATGAAATCTGTTCCTGAAGTTGACAGAATATGGCTGCGTAATGTGCATTTGACTGCCAACTGATGAACTAGTGAACTAGTGGTGACAAAAGAGACGTCCAGATTGAAAGGAGGTGAGCAATACTACAATCTTTTGGCAACTCGTAACTAGCAGCAAAGAAGAAACAGACAACGGCAGCGCCGCCGCCTGCGTCGGCCATGGCTTGCGAGGCCTGACGGATGGCCACTTCAACTCCACACCTAGATCTGAATCGAAGGGGGAGATAAGGCATCCATTGGAGGAGGGGAATGAACTGAGGTGGCGGGGATTCAGGTGCCGGAGGGCCGCGCGAGGACTGGGGGCCGCCGTCGGCTCCTCTCACGTCGCGCGGGGGCCTGCTGTGTCCTTGGTCGAGCGGGGGAAGAAAGAAAGATTGAATCGTTATGTTTTGCGGGATGGATGTTTCCAGCCAAATCGGAGGGGCGGAGCTCGGAAACATGGGAGGGTGCAGCGCGTGTAAGCGGTTTCGGCGCTGTATTCGTTTTATTTCAGACCGTTGTTTCCACGCGCATGCCAAACAGCTGAATTGGAAATTTGGGAATACCAAATCCAATACAGCGCCTCATTACAGACATCCAAACGCAGCGTTTGTGAAATCAGCCATCAGCATTCTGAATTTTCTGCAACCTTGCACGCACAATGGCCCTTTGCTTTTCCGGTGGCTTCTCCTGATTTTGCATAGAGAGCCCGAATGGTCATGTACTTCCTTTGTTTCAAAATAAATGTCTTAATTTTGACACTTATTCTGAGACGGAGAGGGTATATCAATAGTTAATTCAGTTAGTCAGCAAACAGAGAACACTCGTGGAAGACGTTGGCTACTATTTCTCGACATATTTATCTCATCCTTGTTAGTGATGGGCTGTGCAGGAGATCCATGTTGCAACTGAGTAACGAGGCAAGTGCAGACGTCTTACTAACGAGGTAATCCGTCTTTAATGGCCATTTCTGAACCAAATAACCCCTCATTAATTACGTTATTTTCTGGATATACACCAACAAATGCAAAGCATAAATGAATGGTTGAGGTTGCAGCATAGAAATGATTGAAAATGGTTTGAGGTTGATGAAATGGCTCTCAGAGTGCATCGGAGATATTGATGTAACAACAGTACGACACTGAAGAAATTAAACACCGTAGAAATGGTTGAAAAACGTACAACATATATGATGCAAGTTACAGTAGAGAGCGTCCAGAGACAGATTGCTCACTGCACGTGGTCCGTTCATGCTTCACTCACCAGGAGTAACATTCAATATCCAACGAAGGACGCCTTGGCAGCAGTTGCAGGGCGTTACCAAATGCAGACTGGACTACGAGCTTCACTTGTTCAAAAGATTCCTTCTTGATGCGGGATACAATTAAACGTATTTGCTGGAGCTCCAAGAGGTGCTCCATGCCGACTGGTGTAGCTCCGCCCCACTGTGGCCAGTCGACTTTCAGATCGAGCTTTCGTAGCTTGGGCACAGCTCCTGCCTCGAAACCCACATGTGTTGTAATACCTTCCCTAGAGTAGAAGCCAAGACGCTCGAGAACTTGGAATAAGCCCTTGCCGAAGATTACAGCCTCTTCTTTAAAGCATTTATCAAAGGAAAGGCTGAGGTCGACGAGGGATGGCAGTTCTCCAAGAATAGTTATCCCATCATTTTTCATCTCCCTGACACGTAATTGCAGGGTATGCAGGCAATGGAGATCACCGATCCATTTAGGAACTCTCAAGAACGCCCACATGTCAACGCACATTTCCTCGATAAGGGCAGGAGGATCTGAAATTGAGCCTAGAACGTCATAATTATCATCAATCATGCCTGTGATCCCGAGATATTTGAGGTTGCGTAGCTTACAAATAGAAGAGGCCAAAGCATCACACTTCGCCTTCTCCAGATTGCAAGTGCTGCACTCTGCACCCATAACAAGGGTCAGGTTTCTCAGATTAGTCAGCTTGCCGAGGCCCTTAATAGCCTCCAGCGAGCTGTCCACCAGTTCGAAACCATCTAGTGTGCGGAGAGATTCCATAAGCCCGATCCTTTCAGGTAGCCCGTCAAAACGACTCATTATGAGATAGGACAAGCGGGGCAAGTGCACCATGTCTGACGGGATGCTTCCATTCGTGACATCCAACGTATCCAAATGCACAAGCCCCTTAATTTCAGCAGGAAGCTCTGCATACACATACTCTGAAACCCTCAAATACCTCAGATGAAACAATTGGCTGACAGCAGTGAGGTCGAGACATGAATTGGGATCTGAATCCGCATATAAATCTTGTTCAAAGCATAACACACGGATATACTTTAACTGAGAAAGACGAGGTATGAACTTGCAATCTCCGAACCACACAAATGACCGAACTTGCGATATGCTACCTGAAACTGTCCATGATACTGTTTCCCTTTTTCTTCTATCAACACTTGAGATGAGGGACAGCCGACGAATCTTGTACGTGCAGTTACAGAGTCTTGTCATGTCTTCGGAAGTATATGCCACACTATTAAAATTGTCTTCTGCACACTTGCTTAGGATCAAATCTAGCATCATATCATGTACTTTGCAGTAAACTCCCTTGTAGGTCATTACACGCTGAATCAAGCTTCTATTGACTAGCTCATTGAAATAACTTATCCCAACATCCTCCAAATTTGGTCCATGCAAATTACTGATAAAGCCTTCGGCTATCCATTTTCGAACTAGATCATCCCTCCTTATCTCATAGTCTTCTGGATACATACCAATGTAAAGAAAACAAGTGCGGAGATGAAGAGGAAGATTCATATAGCTGAGGTTTAATATACTCCTCATATCTTTCAGTGTGGGGTTTGTAGCAAACTGGGCACCTAGAGAATTCCGTATGTTCTCCCAGTCATTCCTTGATCTTTCTCGGCGACAAGCCAATAGGCTAGCTATAGTAATAATTGCAAGTGGTAATCCGCCACACTTCTTCAGAATTTCAGTTGAAACTTTTTCATAATTAGACGGGCACATGTTTTCAGACCCAAATACTCTCTTCATGAATAAGCTTCTGGAATCTTCAGTGCTGAGGGGCTTCATTCTGTAAATGTGCTTACAGTGACAAGAACATGCTGAGATTGCAACGGCTTCCACTCGTGTGGTTACTATTACTCTACTCCCATTACCATTTTCTGGAAAGGCACATCTTATAATCTCCCATGCTCCTTGATCCCACAAGTCATCGACAATAACAAAATACCTATTGAATATGGTGTTATATATTACACTAGGCGACAAATAAAAATATTGCAGGTGAAAACATCAATAGAATCAAATAAACTTCGAGTAAACATAAACTGAATTCAAGCAAATGCCATTCTTACATCTAAGTTAGACATATTTGTGTAATGTTCAAGATAAAATAACAACAACAGCTTGTGTTGTGTGTTAAAATTTTTCTTTCAAAATAGCGGATTTTACATATATTTTCCATCAAAACAGATCATTGCCTATATTCCATAAAAGTTGTTTTGTTGCTTTACGATGACACATCCAGTATTGAGAGCTGTCAACATGCTATTCATTTTTTTTGCGGGAATTCATTGTATTTCTTTATTTTTAATCACCGTCATATTCCCAATTTAACACCTCACACAAATGCTACATGGGCATTAGGTCTTCCTACGGGTCTAATTACACATTTGCCGATCCAGATATCAACTCCACATGTTTTTCTAATGTCACATACAAGCGACCTACTTGTTTGTGTTGACAACTTTATTTCTGTGAATTTTTTAAGAATCTACAAGGTCAGCACAGTGGCAGGCGAGCAGGCCACAGTTCAGATTTTAATTTCTCATAGTGATCTAATATCACATCTTAATTAAGGACTACAGTAATGAACAAACCAATGATCATTTGCTGTCTGAAGTATAAATTCTGTGCACTAACTCAGTATCATGTTCAAAAGGTCAGAGAAATCGCAATCTGAAGTTTACTTCTGTGTTCTAATCAGGTATCATTAACATGTAGATCAGGGATGGATCAATATAATCATCTATGTCTAGGCGAAGTAGAATTGATGAATTCTGCAGACTGATCTACTATCCTGCATAAACTTCAAACAAGCTAGTGTTCTAAACTTTGATTCTGTATAAATGACCAATCCGCTGGCTCATGATCTCGCCATCTTGGATGGTAACTTAACTATGAGGCATTACCGAAAAAGGCTTTTGCCCTGCTTTAAATATAAAGCACCGATCCACAAGCATCACGATACAAACTCACACCACCACCGCACACGACACACACACCCAAGGCAAGATACAAAGGTGTTGAGCACCGCCACACCACCCCAACGACTACCAAGCCACTACACATGCGCGAGGATGAACCGCTTGGAGCCAACGAAGACCTCCAAGCCTCCGAGGAGAGGTGAGACGGAAAACGACGGAATAAGGACTTCAAGATGGTGCCTCCTAGAAGGGAACGACCCCTGATAGCCGCCACCATCCGATCCCAAAGATCGAGTTTTCACCCGGAGCGGCTCGAAGGAGTAAGGGCACCACGACGGAGCCTTCATAAAGGATACGGTGTCCACGGATGTCGCTGCCGTCGGCGAATACAAGATTGGGCAAGTGATGTGCCCGGGCATGCCCACCCCTCCGACGTATCCTAGCTCCGCCAAACACCAGCGGCCACCCACCCTCGTGGCCATGGCCGCTCGCCCGCACCCGAGGCGCAAGTTCCGCCCACAAACATCGTGTCTCCCGCCGCAAGGGCCGCCGCCCTGCATCCAGACACCCCCAAGACCGACCAAAGTGATCGGCTTTGAGCCAAAGGGCACACCTAGCCGAAGAGACCGCAGGATACGTCCCGCCTCGAACAACGCCGGAGCTGTGTCAGCCCACATACGGCCGGGGAACGGCGGAGGAGGGCGAGCGGACGCATCTGGGCCGGCACACCCCTGTGCCAGCAACGGGTGGGCCGAGCTTGTCGGCGCCTCCCATCCCTCCAGCCTGCCTCCCCACCGGACACCGTCCGTGTCGCCCCACCTCGGCGACGAACACAGCTCCACGCGAGGCCACCAACACACACCCGCCCACCGGCAATAAGAGACCCCAAGAACCGCCGCCAATTGCGAAGGAAGCTCACGAGGAGCCCAACTGTGTTGCCTGTCGTCTTCCAGCCGCGTAGCCCCCGGATTCTGGCAGGCCCGCCCACCGGCCAGCTGCTGCTGCATCTCACACCACCCGTCGTGGCCATGGCAGGGGCGGAGACCTACAACCCGCGCCGCCCGGCCCCAGATCTGGCCTCGACTTCGCCAACCCCGGAGACCAAGGCGTGCCTCCCACCACCACAATGCCCAACGCACCACTGTCGTGCCACCACCGTCGACCAGCCCCGACGCGCCGTTGTGCTGCTGCCCCCGGCACTTAGCGCAGCACCCAGGCCCGGATGAGCCGCCCCGCGTCTCACCACCCGCGCGAGGGGAAGAAGAGCACCCCGCCGCCGCCGGCTGCCGGCTGGGATTCGCCCCGCCGCGCCCCCTGGCGGTGGCGAGGAAGGGGAGGAGCGGCACCCCGCTGGCGGCTAGGGTAAGCCTCCCGTGTGCCCGCGCAAAAATATATAATAGAACACCTGCACCCAGGCCCTCTCTATCTAGCCATCCATTCTGCGCTTCGCGATTCGCACAAACACATTTCTCTTTTGACCAAAAAAATAAATATACAAAAAACACACTATAACGCAAAAATGCAAGAATGCTTGTAGACTTAAAGATGTAACTATACCTCTTGTTTGCAAGGTGTTCTCTAAGTTGACGGATGATGTCTTGCACCTCACAAATACCAGAGGACTCATTTATCCCAAGATTTAATCTTAGGCTATTGAGAAGCCGAGTCATGTCTGGTTTTTGAGAGACAGGAATAAATGCCTTACAGTCAAACTGCTCTTTAAGATCGTCATATACCTGATTAGCAAGTGTAGTTTTACCCAGTCCCCCAAATCCCACGATGGACACCACCTTGAGCTTGTTGTCGGTGTCTACCAACAAACTGACAACCTCCTTCTTTGGGCCATCAGTACCCACAAGTCCAGCAGCGTCTTTGTAGATCGCTGAAATCCGAGGATCAATATCCACAGTGCCACAACTAGTATTACAACCATCAATCTTGTACCTGGAATTGATTAGAATGTCAAAGGAGGAAGTTACAATTGCATATGTTTCTCACAAAAATATTGCGCCTTAAACCATGTTCCTAGTTGAGGCATTTCTTGAAATGCACAGCTAGATTTGCGAGATGAAGATTTATTCGCAAATTGGAGATTATCTAGGGGCACACATGTGGCAATGCCATGGCGCATCACAGTTTCCCTTGAGTGCCTTTAAACTGTTTGGCATGTCTATGTTTGATGACTACCATGCTTTTTGTTTTGAATCCGAATTTGAATTGATGATTTTTGCGTATTTGAAATATTGTCAAACTATATGCGGATTGCAGCACAATATTATGTTTGGAATATTGTGGTAGAATGTGGTTTACGAATATAGTTTGCGTATAATATAAATGAGAAATGGAGAAAAATAGAGTGGGGATTTGGGGGCTATGATTGGAGTACCATGCAAAACATGAAGAACTTCAAGATAGTCAGACCTCCCACATGTTGTTTGGTAGTATAATTTGGACGCTATGCCTGAACTTGCTCTCAGGCAAAACCTTTTTAGATTCATTGTCGGATAAACTAAAGCATATCTATGTTTACTCCACCTTCTAATACAAAAAATAGACAACATTTTATGGACCAAGAGCAGCGAATCTTGTGGTACCTTATTTGCCGTTCCTTTGCCTCTACTGCAAGAGCCTTGAGCTCCTGGATCTGGCCAGCAATCCGGTGACGCGCACGCAATGTCTTCAGGCGCCGAGCAGTCCTCTTCATGAAGCTGGCGCTGGCGTCGGCACCTCCAATATTCTGCATGAAGTCATCGATGCAGTTCTCCATGTCGTAGGCCATCTCCCTGACATGGTCCCTCCAGTTCTTGGTATCTGGCTCGAGCTTTTCCACGAACTCCAGCTTCTCAAGGGCAGCATTCATGGCACTGAGCTCGTCCCTGAGAAAAGCCACCTCCTTCCTCACTCCTTTGAGCTTCTTGTACTCATCTCCCATCAGCATGGTGAGCTTGCTGATGAGGGGGTTCATCACCCCCGCCGCGGCGCTCACGATTGGCATTGCCATCTCGAGCTTGGCCTCCTTCCTCTCTCGGTTCACTAGTGAGCTAGCTAGCTGCGTTTGTGTGCAGTGTGAGCGCGTGAGAAGCAAGCAAAGGCTGGTGAAGAGAGCTGCCTAACTTGATGGTGCCATCTAATATCTACTACTGCATTCCTTTGAATTCATATTATTTCCCCCCTCGAGATCCACATTCATCATTAGTTAATATAAACAGTCTGCAGACTGCCCTGGAAATTAATTATTTACGCTGCATCGGGGGAGCATTTCTATGTCTGTGGAGTGTGGACTTGTTTAAGCCAAGACGATGCTTATTGTCTGGCTCTTACAAAGTAGATCTAGTACAACGTTATTGGAAGGAAAAGAAAAGTAATAATCTGTAGTCCACTTGTATGCAAATAGCCAGTAAAACCTGCCTGCAAACTCTGAAAATTAATTTTACTTTTTGACGTATGCAAATAGCCAGTAAAACCTCAAGCTTAGTCTCGCTCACTAGCCACTAAGCTACGTTTGTCTGCGGCGAGCTGTAGTACGCACAGGCTTGATGCAGAGAGCAGAACGGTGCTTAGCAAATTCCATGGTAAAAATCTACAATTCTATCCTGATGTAATCCATGATTCGAGCACCAGTAGCGGTATTATATTTCCCCAAGATATGCGGCAGCTTTTTATTTATTTTTGAGAGATTCGCGGCAGTGCACTCCAAGCAGAGCTGCGTGCTGTACCTTTTATAATTGTCATATATACAGATCCACGCCAGGGTTAAAATGCAACCATAGAATACTGGCGTGCGCACCATGCTTTAGATAATGTGTCGGTTGGTAGATGATAAAGCCTAACTAAACCAATTGCAAAAGGTACCCGTTTCGAAAAAAATTGCAAAAGGTACCACCCACCTATGAGCACCTATATACTACGCTGTATGCATGTTCATGTGTCGGGTGGACGATACCTTTGGTAAAGATAGCCCAGGTAGCCGATACCTTTAACTTGCTCCTTGTTCGTGCGTACCATGCTTCCTCGTCCCTGCAAATTAAAATTAACTTAAACATGTAGTACACTCCAACACCTCTCACAGAGTCACAGTGTATTATGCAATGCCACCAACACCATGCAAGTGCACAAACGATTAGTACTAATGATGGGATACTATATATTAACTAATGATGAGAGAGATGATATTAGTATCATGCAAGTGCACAGACGATAAAATTTATACAAGCTTTACAAATCTTGTACACAGTTTCAAATTGGGATTCTACAGATTTATAAATAAGAGAATACCATGCAATATAAGAAGGTACTCCCTCCGTTCCAAAATAGATGACCCAACTTTGTACTAATTTTATACAAAATTAGTATAAAGTTGAGTCATCTATTTTGGAACGGAGGGAGTAGTAACTAAAGTGGTACCTGTCATGCTCTGAACTAGTTGAGGTCAGAGATGCTCAAGATTCAGAGAAATTCAGAGATCACGCAAGGAAATCAATGCACCGAGAGGGATTGTTGACCGGTATGAGGGCCTGTCCCATCTTCACTGTTGGTATAGGGCCCAAGCCCATGTGTGTGACCTAGATGAGAGCAACCAGAGTTATATGCGTGTGTGACACACGGGGATAGATGTCAGCCGCCAGACACACCAAACCACATGTATGCGGGTATGCCTCTCTCGTTCTACATGGTACCGGAGAGCTGGGGCGAGGGAGGAAGGCGCCAGCGGTAGAGTCGCCAGCGAGGCGGCGGGGTCCGGCGGAAGACGAAGGCGGCGGAGCTGGGCGCGGGCTGCTGGAGAGGAGCACGCGCTGCGGGCTGCGCGGGAACTAGAGGAGCACGTGGCGCGGCTACGCGGAGGTGCAGACGTGCAGTGAGGTGTGTGCGTGTGGAGCTGCTGCTAAGCTTCTGCTGCTGGTGCTAGTGGAGAAGGAAGTGCTGCTTGTAGCTGCGGCAGAGAGAAGGGTGCGGCTGCTGTTGGGGGTACTGGCTCGATCTAGTACAGTCGTGTGTGCTTCTGCTGCTGAGGATTGGTAGAGGAAGAAGAGGAGGTGACATTGCTGCTGCTCGCCAGAGGAGGAGGCTGGCTGAACTGCAGGTGGTGCTGCTGCTTGCAGGTGCTGGGTGCTGTTGGTGTAAGTTTTTTTTTCCGCTGCTGATTGAAGAAGAAGAAGAGGGGAGGCAATCATGGGGGCTGAACTCACTGCTGCTCTAGAGAAACTTGCGCAGCTCATGACTGCGAAGGCCGAGGGGTTACCTCCTGCAAGTGGCGCCATCATTGTGCCCCACGCAGATCAGGTGTTCAAGCTTGAGCTCATGCCAAATGATGTCAAGCTGAATGGCGTGAGCAGCTACCTGAGCTGGTCGAGGCGCGCCTTGTTGATCTTGAAGACAAAGGGTCTGACGGAGTATGTTCTTGGAACGGTTGAAGAACCGGCTGACAAGGCGAGCCCAGAATGGAAGAAGTGGAGTGTCAGCGACTCTCTGATTTTGGCCTGGATGTTGAACTCCTTGATTCCAGCCATTGCCATGTCTGTTGAGGCATTGCCAACTGCTTCTGCTGTTTGGAGCATGTTGTTCACAAGGTATTCCGGTAAGGGAAACCTGATGCTCATGTCTCAAATTGAAGACAAGATTCATGCTGTTCGTCAAGGTGACAGAAGTGTGCTGGTGTATGTGAATGAGCTGCAACACCTTTGGGCAGATCTGGATCAGTGTGATCCCCTTGAGATTCCACATGCAGAGTCCATGGAGCTTGCCAGGAAGTGGGTTGAGCGCAGGCGTGTGGTGCAGTTTCTAAAGGGCCTAGATCAAGCTTTTGAGAGTAGACATGCTGCGATGCTACATCAGCCGACGCTTGTGACCCTTGATGAGGCCATTGCTGCGATGTCCCAAGAAGAGGTACGCTTGCAGTCGAGAAGGGGAGTTGGAAATGAATCTGCTTACAGGGTGGCTGACCAGCGAGGGGTGTGTCACAATTGTGGTCAACCAGGGCATATCAGCCGTTTCTGCATTGGACCTAGGAACGTCAGAGGCCGAGGGTACAGTGGTGGCAGTAGCAGCCGAGGTGGTTGGAATGTGAGTGGCGGTTCTTGGAATGCTCCCCATTGGAATGCTCCTAAGGCAAATGTAGTTGCTTCAGCTGCAGGGAAGCAGCCTGTAGGAGGACAGGGGACTGCTCCCAGCTATGCCAACTTTGTTGATACAAATGAAGGTAATGTTGAACATGCATTAATCGCAGCCTATAAAATAAACTCTGAATGGGTGCTTGACTCTGGAGCATCACAACATGTTGCTGGAGACTTTAATGAGTTTACATCTTATGTTCCACACTCTCTTGCACATCAAAAAAACATTCACACAGCAGATGGCACAGCCCAACCCATCATAGGTGTTGGGACAGTTAACTGCACGCCGAGTCTTGAATTATCCTCAGTGTTGCATGTGCCCGCTTTTCCTGTGAACTTAGTGTCCTTGAGTGCTTTGGTTGACCAAATAGATTGCCGAATAATTCTTGACAAGGTTGTGTTCTTGATCCAGGAGAGATTGACGGGCAGGAGTCTTGGGACTGGAACAAGGCGTAGGGGGTTGTGGTACATGGACGGCAGCATGCCGGGCCAGGAGGGATTGCACATGCTAGCTGCAATTGCTGAGGATAAGGAGATTAGAGCACTGATCCATCACTGTAGGATGGGACATGTGTCTTTTGACAAAATGTATCAAGTATTTCCTGATGTAATGAGTGGTGTGGACAAGAGCAAGCTGAAATGTGATGCATGTGAGTTTGCTAAACATACCAGAAACTCGTATGTGAGTAAGGGGATCAGGAGCATCTCTCCTTTTGTGTTAATCCACTCTGATGTATGGACATGTCCAGTGTTATCTGTCAGTGATATGAAGTACTTTGTTACGTTCATTGATTGTCATTCTCGGATGACTTGGGTCTATCTTATGAAACATAAAGATGAAGTGTTTCAGTGTTTCAAAGTCTTTTATGCACCTGTTCAGACTCAATTTAATGTGAAAATTCAAGCACTCAGATCTGACAATGGCACCGAATATGTTAACAAGGCCATTGGTTCCTTCATGTCAAACAAGGGCATCCTGCATCAAACATCTTGCCCGGACACACCTCCTCAGAATGGGGTGGCAGAGAGGAAAAATCGCCACCTGCTGGAGGGGGCCCGTGCATTGATGTTCACCATGAATGTGCCCAAGTTCCTGTGGAGTGAAGCTGTCATGATGGCCACCTTATTGATCAACCGCACACCATCCCGGGTGACAGGTATGAAATCACCGTGTGAGTTGGTTTTCACAGAAAATGCATTCCCAGTTCCCCCCAAGGTGTTCGGTTGCACTTGTTTTGTTCGTGATCACAGGCCATCAGTCAACAAACTGGATCCTCAGGCAGTCAAGTGTATTTTTATTGGGTATTCTTCAGGACAAAGAGGGTACAAATGCTGGAGTCCGTCTGAGAGGAGGACATTTGTGAGCATGGATGTTACGTTCCGTGAATCAGAACCCTTTTATGGTGAGCAAACTGACCTAAGCGTCTTGTTTGAAGAACTTGACCAATGTCTCCAACCGGAAATTGGTCAAGAGGGGGAGAGCAGTGATAGTGATAATTATAATTGTGGTGCTGCCGATTCAGTGCTGCAACAACCAATCGAGGGTGATATTCCGGTACAGGGAAGCGAACAGCAGCCCCAGAAAATGATAACACCACAGACTGAAGGACCGATTGTGACTGATGGGGTGCCAAGTCAGGCAGGTGGTGCTCCCACCCAGATCGGTTGTGTACCGAGGTGGACGGTAGAGCAAGAGGAGTAGCTAAAGGTGTATTCACGGAAGCAAGGTGATGCTTCTCATAGGTGGCAGAAGGTGAATGAGGAGCGTAATCCTCAAGTATATTCAAGATGACAACATCATGTTTAGGGGGAGCAGCCAACACAGATGCAGGGGGAGCAACAAGGCAGCAATGCAAGCTCAGTTGACACAGAGGACTTGCCAATTGCTTTG